AAAAAAAAAAAAAAAAAAAAAAAAGTGAGAAATCCAAAGGAAGCTAATCCAGTTGAGAAGTAAAAACAGAATGGAAATACAGAGGAAAAAGAGAGAAGCTTTTATTCCTTTTGCACTCTGTGAAATGTATTATTTTTGAATTGATTCTTGTAAAAAAGGTTGCTCATCACTAACCTCAGTCTTCAATAAAATAAAATGGTGGTAAAAGCATAAACACACACACACACACACACACACACACACACAGAGAAAGAGAGAGAGAAAGAGAGAGTGAGAGAGAGACAGAAAACCAATTATGGTCAAAGACAAAGATCTTTATTATGCACCTAACTCACCCTTTGTTTAGGTAATAACCATTTGCTGGAATTAGTTCTTCAACTAATTTTGATCTATTCCTTATTTCTTGATATTATTTTGATATAAAAATATTATCAAATGCTTTAAATATAAGGCATCTACCACCCTTACCAATTTTGTCCTATCAAAAAAGAAGTATGCTTAGTTAGACAACTTTTTCTCTGTGAGTTCATAGTTGTTTCCATGAGCATTGCATAGATTCTGTAGAGGATCAAAGTAATAAAATTTACAAGAGAATAAAATTTGCACATGTCAGATTTAGAAAGAAAGACCCACCTTTTAAGAATCCTTTCTCTCATGTTGATTTAATTTTTTAATGGTGTTTCGTTAGTATTTTTTTAAATCTAAAGACAATTCTGCTGAATCAAAAAAATGTACACACAAAATAGAAACTAAAGATGATTCTTATAGACCAAAAAATATATGCTCAAAATAGAAATAGGGGTCAGGGATTTAGTCAGCAGTTTCGTGGCCTGCCTTGCAAGTGCAAGAATCCAAGTTCAATCCCCGGTACAAAAAAAAAAAAAAAAAAAAAAGAAAAAAGAAACTAAGTTGTTTTTCTATTTGCTGGTCATTAAGTCTCAAGTAGCAGGTCTACCATATCCTGTCCTTACTTCCTTCTCTGAATATAAAGACATCTGCACTAAGACCACATCAGCAGTATAAAACCTGCTTTTTAAAAACATATATTTCCTGTTCATAGACATGAGGTGGCTTTTGGCAGAATCATGAGACTAACAAGAGGAGTGACCTCTCTCAAAAAGAAGCTTCCCTCTTCACTGTATGTAAATTAAGCAAAATTTGACATAAAATGAGTAAGAATGAAATGAGCAAAATCATATATTTTGATTTGCAGTATTATATTACTTATAATTCAATGCATTTTTAAAATCGTCTTGGGTCTGTACTGCCCATAATGAGGCAACACGTGTCTATTTAAATTCTTTAAAATTTTACACATTCAAAAATTTAATTCCTCAGTGGCAATGGTCACAATTCAAAGGCTCAACAGCTAGAAGTGGTTCGCAGCAATTGTGCTCAGCAGCACAGTAGACACACTATGCATACCATGCTGTCCTACAGGAAAACAGGACTATACATTCCAAATTGACTTTTTTTTCAACTGTAATCTTTTGTTTCAAAATTTCTGTACATGCCAATCATTAATTTAGTAGTTGATTACATTAACAACGATGCATACACTGCATCTTCAATGAACTACTTGCAAGTTCTAATTACATGCATTCAATCATTCACATATCAATTGATTAAAGAGACAATACACATAAACAGATTGTAACACTTCGGGTCACAAAATTGAGTGAAAATACTTAATCTGAATTCCCCGGGCATTTACTGCAAAGCCTTCAATTAGCATATCAGGATGTGCATTTTAGAAGTATTTGGCAAGCAGTTAATGTTACACACACACACACACACACACACACACACACACAAAAGCTATGGTAATCCACTTGAAAGTCATATGCCTAATTTTTACTCAAAAGTGGAAATATCGGGGCAAGAGCTACAGCTCAGGGATGCAGTTTCTGAAGAGCATGTGTAACATCTTTGATTCTATC